AGGTCACGAGACTATATCATTACCTATACGACCACCCTGCAGGTGATAAGGAGGTTTGGGGGGAGGAAGCAATGGGCAAAAGTGGTGATTGTTGTTTTGACGATGCCTCTGGGGCGGAGTCTAGTGAGTAGTGTGATTGTGCACGTGAGCGTGATGTGATGTGGCGATGTTGGCGAAACGCACTCGACATGTCGTGAAGCGCTGTCCCCAGCGGCGGGACACCGGCGGGATACCGCGGGCCACCGTTTGACTGGAGGAGCATCAATCGGTCTGGCCGCGCCCCAGCCACAGGAGGATTTCGGGACACCAGCGGGACACCGGCGGGACACCGCGGGCCACCAGCCGCCAGAGGAGCATCATTCGGTCTGGCCGCGGCCCAGCCACAGGAGGATTTCGGGACACCAGCGGGACACCCGCGGGACACCGCGGGCTACCGGCCGCCGGAGGAGAAACATTTGGTCCGGCCGCGGCCCAGCCACAGGAGGATTTCCTCTCGCCCGCCCACGCAGCTTCGCCTCGCCCGCACGCACGCACGGCACGCACGACACGAACCCGAAACCGAAATCGATTTCCCGGTAGGTGCGGTCTCCGTTTCACGTCGGACTCACCCCCCAACCTCTGATGGTAGTGATCCAGCATTGGGTCCTATGTGCCGATGGTAGTACTTGTGGAGGTGCTAACTTGTAACGTGTCGGTGTCACCACTGACATTAACATCTCCGCTGCCATAGCCATTGCCACCACCATCACCACCGCACCGATTCCCACTGGCTCTTTTCAATCATGACTAGTCGTTGTTGCCAGCTACTGATGTTTACTAAGATCGGCATGGGAGTTCTTGTCTCCACCTGGGCGACGGATGAGAACGAGGTCGTCTTCGCCGGCATTGGCGCATAAGCTGTCCGCGCAAGGCCGCGCATAAGCGCCCTCTTCTCCACGTGGTGGGCCACGCTGGCGGGGCCGCGTAAGTCGCGGCATACGCGATGTCTTCTCGCGTAAGACCCGTTTCTTTTGGTCGTTCATGTGAACTCTTGTCACCATTTTCTAAGAGCGTGTTTCTATCACGTAACGGCCCTCCCCCCCAGTGCGCTCAAGGCACTGCCGCCGTGCGCATCGGGCACACGGCGGGGGGGAGGCGTTACATTATACCCCCCCCTGGCCCTTCCCCCCCCACCCTATAATGCCCACTATCGCCGAAAATGAAAATAAAGAAGCGCGCTCTAATTGTGTCTGCCCGTGCATGTGACCGTCGCTGGCAGGGGGCCACCCCCGTGGCACCGCCACGGTCTCGGCCGGACCTCGGCTCCCGATGGATGGCCAAGATCGCCCGACAACAAACATGCCACCCAAAATAGCCAAGATCGGAGGTTGACGGACCTCCTACCCTGACACGTCGATTGGTGAATTGGACGTTCCCAGTTCGCGAGAGGGCGTCGCCGCCGTCATTTTTGCGGGTCCAGGTCCATCGATTTCGGTCCTAGGCCGTTTTCACTGAAGGGTGTTTTATTACTAAAGGGAGGTTTGTCCACCGCCGACACGAGACGAGCGGCGCGGCTTCAGACGGTTGCAGATGGCATCTACGACCCTCGTCAAATTGACCTCTGAAGCGCGTTGCGTGCGAAGTGTTTGTCTGCGCCCACTCTCCAGTGCCGGTCATCTGGGAACTTCCAAGTCGCGCCGTCCCGGCCCGCGTTTCGGTCTGTTTCGAAATTGAAGGGGGCGAGATTGCAGGGCTGAAAGGAAGTGACATTGAAGGGCCACGTCGACAATGTGAAGTGACTTTCGTCGAGGGTTGCAGGTGTTATCATGTGGCATATGGAGTCTACAGGCCCAGAAATCCGCGTTACTAACAGGAGGCTCAGTCTGAGCGTGACAGCTGGCGTCTGGTAAACTTCGTGCTGCCGCATCAGCCATGCTGTTGACATGTTGTTGCCTTGCTTTCGTCTGGCAACAGGCGGAGTTTCGCGGCAAAGTCTGCGGGGAGTCCGTTCCAAGCGTGCTGGCTCTTTCATGGTGCACTTCGAGCAGCCTGGGTTCTTGACATGACATTCGCTACGAACGTGCCAGTTCGTTCTCGGCGCACATGGCGTTGCCAATGTTGCAATCTGGAGGTTGACTCCCAGCGTGCCGGCTCGCTTGTGGTAAGCTTCGTGTTGCAAGCGTTATTGAACAGTTCTTGCTAGGACGTTTTTCCCAGCGTGCTATCTCGCGTCCGGCAGCAGACAGGTCTCAGATCGAAGGGAGTCCGCTGCGAGCGTGCAGGCTTGCTTCTGGTTCACATTGCTTTGCCCGCGCCGATGCCACGAATCTCATTCCGAGCGTGCCGTCTCGTTGCTGGCGCACACTTCTCCTCGAACGTGTTGTCCTGCTTCCTTGAGTTTCGCATATGCGGCCGCTTTGTCGTCATCTCATATCTTGGCGCCGGCGACGAAAGTGCTGAAAGGCTCCAAGCAATTGTTGGGGTCATTCTGGGGTCATTTGCCTTGAAGAGGGGAGACAGA